GCCACGTGAGCCTTGTGCTTAATCTTTGATTGACCCTTCTTCAATTGTGGGCAATCATATTTGACATGCCCCAGTTTTTTGCATTCATAGCAAATGATCGGGTCATTCTCTTTTGGTTCATTTTTGAAGCCTTCATTTCGTTTGAATTTTCTTCCTCGGTTAGGCCTCATCATTTTTCTAAACCGTTTGGCAAATAATGCCATTTCCTCATTATCGTCATCTTCATCGGAATCACTCTCATCTTTTGTTGATTTGAGAGAAACTCCCACGTTCTTCTTTTTCTCCGTCTCCTTCTTTGACACATCTCTTCTTTCAAGATCTTCCTCTTCTTTAGGCATCATTTCATGCGTGAGGAGAGAGCCAATAAGTTCATCGAGGGTTAAGGATTTCAAATTCTTAGCCTTGATGATCGTCTTCTTCTTTGATTGCCAAGCTTTTAGAAGAGAGTAAACTAACTTCCTTACAAGCTTTTCATTTGGAATGATTTCTCCATATGATTTGAGGCTATTAACAATCGTGGAGAATCTATCCGTCATAGCTTTGACATCTTCATCCAGTTTCATCCTGAAATTTTCATAGCTATGAGTTAGAAGACTAATTTTAGATTTTTTTACCTCGTTTGTGCCTTCATGAGTGACTTGTAGTTTGTCCCATATCTCCTTGGCGGTTATGCAAGATGAAACTCTCCCGTATTCATCCGGTCCAAGAGCACAAAAGATAATATGGATAGCTTTGGAGTTGAGCTGGAACATTCTTGTCTCTCCTTCACTCCATAACCTCGGGTGAGTGGAGGGTTTGATGTATTCATCTTCTATGATATTCTATGTTCCCATGTCACTTGCTTGAATGAAATACATCATCCTATTCTTCCAATAAGCATAATTAGCTTCATTGAAGAAAGGAGGCTTGTTAACGGGCAATGAATCGAGACTGAAGTCGGAGTTTGAAGTGCCGGCCATTGATGGCTTTGAAAATCGATGTAACTCTTCCCAAATAGACTCAAGAGGTGATTAAACCTTCAAATGAGTAAGGCTCTGGTACCAATTATTGAGTTAATCGATCGATGGAATTGGCCAAGAGGGGGTGAATTGGCAATAAAAATTTTTGTGGAAGCTTTTGCAGAAAATTGAAAATATTTGCACAACGATTTAGAGTGGTTCGACTTTCTCAACCAAAGTCTAAGTCCACTACCTTAGCTATCCACACTAAGGATTTTCCAACAAATTCACTAATTTGTTCTTTCTTTTGAGGACAAAGAGTAACCTTATAACACCCTCAAGAATTATACCCCAAATTCTTGAGCACACTCTTTTTCAAAGAGAAATACACAAATTTGCAAACTTACAAGGAAAACTTCACAAGGTAGATTGTTTGCACAATTCTAGAACAAAGAAAGAACATTCAAGGATAAATACAATAGAGCACAAATGGTGTTCTTGAAAGCACAATGAATATTGAATGAAAAATAGGCTTGAAGTGCTAAAACAATGAGTTTGATGCTTTCTTTTCGATTCTCTCTCAATTCTTGATAATTGTTGTTTCTTATTTTTGATCAATGGCTTCTAAGCTTGTTTAAATACTCCTTTAATTGATTCTGAACGTTGGGGATGATTAGTGGAGTCAATGGAGCCGTTTTAGTGTGAAATCAATTAATAAAATAGCTTGGAGCGTGGGGGGAATCGGTACCCCTCATGGGGAATCGGTTCCCTAAGTGTAAAATTCAAATATTTCGACCGTCAAACAGGGGAATCGGTTCCCTACGAGCATTCTGTTTTTCTCGGAGCCAAACTATTCAGTGGGGAATCGGTACCCCCTTGGGGGGGAATCGGTTCCCTCTGACAATTTGGAATTTTTGGCTTGAAACGGTTTAAAATACTTTGTAAAATTGTTTTAAAAATTATTTTAAGATTAAAACTTAATTTTACACTTTAGTAAGGATTAAAAATGACATTTGAAAGATTTGGAGTAATATTTTGATATTCAAATAATTATATCAAATATACTCGAAAAATCTTAAAATTCATTTAACTTAATTTATTATAACGAAATATCAAAATGTTTCAACAATCACCATAAACACCGAACCAAATACCCCCAATATACCAACAGAAAAAAGCAACCACAAAAAATGAAACAATATCCACAACAAAAAAACCAAGAATCACAGCAAAGAAAGGAACCCATAAACCACAAGAAAACAAAAATAACTTTAGGTTTTGGCTCAGGAGAGGAAAAGTCATCGGAGAAGCGAAAGGGTTTAACCGAAAAACGGTAAAGGTCGCAACTTTTAAGTCAGATCTACGTCAGGGGAGTTATTTTAGGACGATCGGGTTCCTGTTTTGGGTTTGGGATGTTGAGGGGTTGCTTTGGTGAGTTTTGGCTTTTTTCGGCCACTGGAGGGGGCAGTTTGGCACCGACCAAGGCTCGGGTTGAGAGTGTTTATGAGATTTTTTTAGGATTTAGGTTAAAATAAATCTATTTTTGGGTTTTGGGTATATATAATCGGGGGGCTAGATTGTAATTAGCCTATAGTTAAACTCTTTTCGCCGTCCCCCAAGTTCTTAAGTGTAATTCATTTTTGTCACCAGTTTCAATTTTGCCTCTGAATTTTCAATTATTTCAATTTAATCATTGTTTATATTGTTTATATTTTGTGAATTAATCTCCTAATTTTTTTCTTGCAGTTTATTTTTAGCATTAATTTCAATCCATAAATTTCAATTTTTTCCATTTTGATCCTTTAAGTTTTATTTATTTCCTTTATTTTATTATTTCTAACATTTAACATTTTTTTAATTCTTTTTTTGAAAAAAAAACATTTCTTCGTTTTTTTATTAATTTTTTTTTTTATTTCTTTTGAAATTTAACATTTATACATTTTTTTATTTTATTTTATTTTAATATTTTCTTCATCTTATTTTATTTTATTTTATTTTTTCTCTTTTTACCTTTTTTATTTTCTTAATTTAACTGTTTTCTCTCTCTCTTTGATTTATTTAATATTTTATTTTATCATCTAACACCATTTTGACTTTTTCAGTAGTAATTTCAATCGATCAAAGTTAAGCAATTCAAATTGAATTTTTAAATTTTGATTTAAATTTTAATTTTCGCAATTAAGACAACCGACAAATTAAATTGTACCGAAAGGGCAGTTCAAGGGCACTAATCCTTCATTGACTGTAACTGACTCCTGAATTCGTCATATTTCTGGTAAAACGCAGATCAGGTAAGATGATATCCGATCAACCTAAATATTGTTTTTAAATGATCAGTGGCGGCTCTAATATTTTTTCAAGTTGAAGCCTAATTCCGGACCCACCCAAAAGACGGTTGAGACAGGCATGCATAAACATTATTGATTGGTGAAGTAGTCAACTATCATGGAAGTAGTAAACTGTCATGGAAGGTGATCAGAGGATAATCAGAATCATGGGAGAGAAGTCAGAGAATTGTTTGTTTGCCCCCCTCCCCCGGGTCTCTCTTGTATGGTTATTTGTAGGACTTTGGGTTTGTCTTGATTAGGAGTTGTCATGTCATTGTTTCTGACTAGTCGCTCAAGATTGACTTTGATTGGTTATTTTGGGAGGTGACATGATAGTACTGATTGATTGTTCTTAGTTATCGTACCCCTGAATAGTTGCCTTGGGAGGTGATAGGCTATGCTAGGACCTTGTGTGCGTCAACATACGGTCGTCGTTGGTCGCGTATAAAATATGTTTGCGTGAGTGGCACTCAGTTAGCGAGTAGTTGTTCGCATGGTCATGAGGGTTCGCATAAGCATTATATCTGCAAGTGGGAGTCGTGAGACCGTAGGTTCGCAAGTGGTAACAAGCATAAAATGATGATAGTAATCAAGCTACAAATATCACCACTAAGTTATCCCCACCAAATCATAAATACAATCAAATATGTCTAGAGTAAAAAGGAAGTACAAGGAGCCTGATTCTAACAGTATGGAATGCTAATAGACACCTAAATAACATGCTGCTCATGACAATCTGGAAACCCAAGATATCCTCTAGTGCTCAAATCTGGAAAGTTTAAAGAATTCACCATGTGTTACAGATAGGCTGCGCCCTTCTAACTCGAACTCCGAAACGTGCTGCTACACTTTTGTGTCTTTAGCAGGTGATCTTCAACACTGTGAACTCTGCAAAAAGCCATGACTTTGATGAATTCATCTATTTTACCTTATTCTCTCATTTCTGAAAAGAACAACGTCAGGAACACCCTGTCATTGATTACTGATGACTTGGGCCTAATTACTTCTATTAAATTCTTTTCTAACAGATGATCATCATAGCAACATGTGCCATTATAAGTGGTTAAACCTGCTTTGAGTCCTAAGTACCTAATTGGACAATTAATTTATTAAAACAGTGAAAAGAATACTCCATTTCAGTCTTCATGATACAAACAAATTATCACATGTTAAACTCCCATTTAGTAGTAACTCTTACCCCCTTCTGTAATTTTTTTTTATCTTTTGTCTCCCTCATTTCGCAACCTAAAGAAGAAGAGATTCCAGCCAGCTAAGCAAATCTTTGTTGATTTCCTCCATAATTCAATTAGGCCACCATTAGGCAATTAAACGACTGCATGTTATCTATAGAAAAAAAAAAGTTCAATTCAGTTCATCTAATCACTTGAAACCTATAGAAGATTTAGAGCGGGAACCAAAGTGGAAAAAGCAAAGAACATGCTTTAACTGCTAAAGTTTTTTCTAAGTTCAGTTGGTGCTAACAAATTCTCAAGCTAGTAGTCTAAACTTGCTAAATGAAAGGCCAAATTAAAGGCTTCATCATTGATGGACCCAGTTTTTCCATTTAAGCAACGCCTTTGATAACCACACCACCTAACACTACCTATAAAGGATAGTGGTATTATATATTTATTAAGTCCACATGATGAATACAAGCTCAATTAACAAATCTAAATGTTCCCCTATTACCTTTCAACCATCCCCTAATCTTTACGTGTTCATTGCCTCGAACTGTAGACACAATCATGCTTAACGTGACCCACTTTGCCTAATGAGCATAAATTATTATTCTGGAACAAATTTTCATTCAGAGATTCATGTCCATGCTAGAAGATGAAAGCTTCTAAAGAACACAAGAACCAGAGGCTTCAACAAAGAGGATGCAGGGCTTTGTGCTGCAGTTGCAGACTTAGTGTCTCTTCTTCAGAAGAAGCAGAAAGCACAAGTTCAGACCGATATGCGTCGATCTCGAGTCTAGCACACGCTATGGTTCAAGAGAGGCTTGACCAAATGATCAGAGAAAGGCGGGAGACTGACCAAATGATCAGAGAAAGGCAGGAGACAAGGCATAATATAGAAAGAAAGAGGCACAGAAGCGAGGGGACTAAGTTCGTTGTTATGGTAGCCATGGAGAAGTGTTCATATGATCCCAGAGAAGATTTTAGAAGGTCTATGATCGAGATGATTACGGAGAACAAGATTCAAGAGCCCAAGGAGCTGCGCAGCCTCTTGAACTATTACGTATCTATGAACTCTGATGAGTACCGTGGGATTATACTAGAAGTTTTCCATGAGGTTTGCACTGATTTATTCTTAAGTTGTAAACGCCATTGAAAAGCAATGTGATATTCCTTTTTTTCTTCATAGAAATGTTCTGGTAGTCTTGAATAACCATGAACAATGTATAATGCATGTATAAGATGTTCTTCACCCATCATTGTGCAGATTGATGATCCTTGTGGATTTTATTATAACTTCCCTCCTTTGACGCCTTCAGTTAAGGATGCATGAGAATCGAGTCGAGACCATGCCAGCAATAATATAATTTGCGTTTCTTCTGAGTTTTCTCACACATCGACATGTAACAGAAGACATACATGAAAATAAATCTCTTATTCAAAAGGACTGAGTCTATAACTAATAACAATGAACTATAAAGCTTGTCCACTGATTGGCCATTAAAGGGTATTTTTGTTGAAGGGAAAACCGTAAATTAGGACGACATTGTCGTCGGCTTGCTTTGGTGCTCTTTAGGAATGGAAGCCTAAAATATTCTGTTGAAGATAAATATATGAAAGTTTCATATATTATTACATCTCCGTTTACTTGAGACAGCAAGTTGGAATATGGTCTTACAACAAATAGTGTCCATGACCATGTATTATTTACCCATATAAGTATATAGTTCTTACAGCAATCTGACAGAGTTTAAGTTCATGGGTTCAAGAGACTGCTGCCCTCCTTGAGGAGCACAAACACACTCCCGGCATCCCCTCGTGAAATCCGCAGTTCATCGTCGAGGTATGTTGTAAGTAACCATGATTCGGCATTGCTGTTTGACAATGGGATCGTCAATGGTGGTTGGCTGGAAATAGTCTTTGCAACAGATGAAGCTGTGTCTTGCACAGAGGTGAGCAAGCCTTTAAGAGGAGTGAGATCGATTTTTTGTCCTAGAAACTCCACATTTTCTGGTAACACTATGGAGTCTGTCAGCTGGGGAGTTCCAATGATGCCCTCCTGAAACTTGATCTGCACACAATATTCACAAAAAGAAAAACAAGTGCAATTTTAAGTCACAAGCAGAGTGAGAGTCCAGAGCAACTTCAAAATTAGTTTAGCAGAAGAACAGTAGAGGTCTAAACAACGTACCTGCACACGTTTGGGGCTTCGGACCTCGAATTTAGCATTGGTGCTAATGGAACTCGAGGCTAATAGTCCAGAGAGCTGAACAGAGTTCTGCAAAGTGAGATTTTCGGCATCGATGGTCTGTGATATTTCCTCCACCTTGACTAACTGAAATTTAGCCCTCGACAACAACGGAAACATACCCGGGAAAGATGTGTACCTGTGCCACAACACAATAGTATCTATTTAGAACTTTCATTATTTTATTAGCAGCAAGACAAATTAAGAACTTACGCGAGAATCCATTTGCCGTTGAGCAGAGGCAACGCCTCGGTGGGTGCTGGAGTTGGGTTCTTGGCCTCGAGCTGAGTTATAAGCTCAACAATCTCAGCCCTGGTTTCACTACTAGCTTTCAATCCACGATCAGTCCCATAAAACGAATCCATCAATGCTTTCTTCAAGCTCTGGATTTCCACCACTTGGTCTGGCTTCTTCTCTTCTTGTGCCACGGCCACTCCAGGACTCTCTATCACAACCGACTCCTCCTTGTCTGGGCCCCATTCATCGTCGACATCCGAAGCACGGACCTGGAAAACAGGTCTTGCCTGGATTGACTTCTGGGTCAAAAATTGAGATTTCTTTATCAAATTCTGAGTTGGTTTTGCTGAGTTGGGAGGCAGAGCCGAGAGTCTTGAGGTGAAGTTATTGGGCTGTGAAGTTTTTAAGGTCTTGCATGGAAAGTTATTCAGTTGAGAAACTGTAGCCATGGCTGTGTAAATATGAACAGAGGATGAATACAGGGGAGGAATCAATATATGCAGGTATGAGTGTAAAGTATAGAATTTGGACAGTGGCCCAAATCAAGGAAAACCACCCTGTGATTTCCTAAATAGTTTACGGAACGAACTCTCGGGGAAGATACTCTGTCTATTTTATATAAATAAATGTATATGATTTCTTCGATTGATTCCGGTCACTTCTGACGTGTCGGCAGCGCTATTTGCGTGTAAACCAACTCTCGAATCCTCTAAAGCTAAAATATCTCTTCGACAAAAACAAACAGCAAAATGATTATTTTTTTAAAAGAAAAAACATTTCAGAAACGGAAAATTTGTACGGTGTATCGTAACACATCATTAAAGTAATATATTAAAACACATAATTAATTAAATTATCTTTATTAAATAAATATAAAAAATAAATTATACATTTTGAATTTTAACTATTACTTTTTATTTTATTTTAATTTTTAAATTTTAATTTTCTTAAAGATAACACTTATATGACATGATATGTTAATTTTTTATTTTTTAATTATTATATCACATTATCTTTATTCGTTAACATTTTTTTAATTAATTTTATTTAATTATTTAGGTGATGACACGTGTCACAATCGTGTCATCACCTATGGGATAAAAGATAACAATTGCTCATAGTGTGAATTGAACTTAGATCTCTTACATAAGAAACAATTCACTCAACCATTGTGTTAAGCTAATTATTATTAACAATTCACCACATTTTATATTTAACTTATATAACGGTATCACCACAAAATCAATATTTTTTTATGATTATAAGATTCAAATATGAGACACTTCAAATTAACCACCGAAAAGTTTAGTCACTCACTTATAGTGTGAATTTTTTTATTATACTAATTTTAATACTTACTTATCATTATTAAATTAAAAGACTAATTTTTTACTTTATTTAAAAATAAAAAATATGATTAAATAATTTATATATTATAAAAGTTATATGAAATAATTATAAAAAAATATTTATAATATTATAAAAAATATTTATTTAAATTTTAAAATCAAATTAATTATTTATTTGAAATAATATTATTTGTAAATTATCTATTTTATTTTAAATAATTTAAATTTAAAGTAAATTATATGTTTAGTATCCAACTGTTACTTTGGTTCTGTACAATATCATTTAAAATTAAATAGATAATCTAAAATAATATTATTTAAAATAAATAATTAATATTATTTCAAATAAATAAATAATATGATTTTAAAAATTAAATAACTATTACTTTGGTTGAGTGTTATGCATTTATGTAAGAGACCTATGTGCAATTCATGCTAAGAGGAAGAATACTTTCTTTTATTTTATCCCTATAGTTGGTCACATGTGTCACCATTTAATTTTAATTGATTGAATAAAATTAAATAAAAATGATGACGGAGAAATCGAAAGGTGATATGAAAATTAAAAAAAAAATAAAAATTGACATGTCATGCTACACCAACGTTGTCTTTAATGGTTTTGAAAAAAATAAAGTTTAGGCACTAAAATGAAATAAAATTGATAGTGTAGGTACTAAATGTATAATTTACCATTTTAAATTTTACTTAATAATGAAAATTTAATTAGTGGTGTGTTGTGGTATGCGACGTGTGTTATAGACTCATCCTTTAGAAATGAAATCCACCTACCATCTCTTTAAAAAAGACAATCTACCTACCACTATGGTCTCGTCAATCTCCAAGAAACTTCCAAATAATCACCCACCCCTTATTTATATGTAGGAAAGAGGTGAAGATTCATCTTAAAAGAAAGAGATGTATAAATTTTATTAGTTGAGACCACAAATGATATGGTAAGTCGAAGTCCATATAATAACTTTTCTCGAATTCTCATGTTTCGATTGTCCCAATTAAGCGAGAAATTATTACATGAACCCTTTCCACTACCTCATCCATGATCCTTAACCAATTAAATGACGACACACCACATTTATTTTCCATATCATATTTCCTTAAAAATCAAAATTTCCAAATCATCATATTCTTTTTTATCCCATCCTCTTCTTCCCTATCTTAAAGCATCAAATCTCCATGTTTTGCTCTACTCTTTCTTTAATCCACCATTATAATCTAGATTAAAAAATCATCACTTCTTCTTTATCTTATAAATTAGTTTAAGTATGTATATTTGAGCTAAGAATATGAAAGAGAATGAAACATGAAGAATTTAAGTTGATATAGTGAATTTTCGGGCATGAACAATGATTTTTCTAGTCTTGAACGAAATTCTAGATTGTGCAGGGGGTACAGATTCCCCCCTGAGGGAGTACAGATTCCCCCCTGAGGGGGTATCGATTCCCCCTAAAGAAAAAAATATGGAATTTTGGGCTTAAGTTATTAACATCAAGTGTAATGTTTAGGCTTATAATAATTGTTTTGAAATGTTATATTTATGTAAATATGACATATGTGAACAGGATATGACATACGTACATGGACAAATGAGAAATGATATATGTTATATGATATAGACCTATGTGACTACGTGAGAAAGAATATATGTCTATGAGAAGGCATAAGAACAAAGTATAAGCTATGTGACATATGAATATGAATCATATGGAAATGTTCTATGTGTAAGTGAACTATGTGATGATATGATATGTGATAAATATGAAAAATAATGCCCATGTTTGTGTCATGAGATCTAGAGGTGTAGTTGGCATGCCAAGAGTAGAGGGTCTACGCGGTTCTTCGGGACAAATTCTATGTGGTCCTTCGGGATGTATATGTATTCTTTGGAACATGTATGAGGTCTTTTGAGACACCTACTTGATCCTTGGTATATGTATATGATTCTTAAGGAATTTATATGTGGTCCTTATGACAATCTTATATGGCACTACGGTGTATTTCTACACGACACTTCGATGCAAATTCTACATGGCATTACGGTGCAAATTTATACGAGTTGTGGTGACAACATTTGTGCACAACCTCAAGGTACTCACATACCTTCAGTTCTCACCAATGTACCATGGGCTAATAAAGAGATAATAACAAATACAATATATGTGATGTATATGCTTTTGGTGATATAACATATGTTACATGAATTATATGATGTTATGTGTGTTTTGTTATGAAATGATATATGTGTTCCATAATATATATGGAAATGTTCAACATATACTTATATGATATAAAGAAATTAGTGATGATAAAATGAGAAATGAT